TAAGATATAAACAATGTGAGTAAATATTTTTAACGATCCAGTTTTCTTTACTCTTTTACTTCCTTCCAAGCAGCTGGACTATAACAGGAATGTGATTTCCTATATATTCCTAGAATAAGTAGGAATTCTAGTGTCACAGATCCTAAGTTATGATTTTGTTAAACTCAGTTTTATTAAGTTTCCTTTTTTCTTTCTTCTATGGGTTTGTTTAACTATAAAAATATTTCTAAGTCTGAAATGGTGGTTACAAATACTAAATCACAGGGAATTCTGTCATTTGACTTTCCCAGGAGAGCTGGGAGCCCAAATTCTAAATCTAAGTGGCCAAGCTTGTAAAATGATGAAGAAAATAGTTCTGGTATAAGACAATAGGGATCATGGAACCTGTGAAAGCCTACAGAGTAGATTTCCTGCCAGAATATTTAATTTTCAAAAAAGAATCTGAGGATCAAGTCATCCTCCAAATCTATGGGGACACACAAAACCTGGTACCTCTCATTTTCAGTTGCTTTTGCTTTTGTTCTTGTTACTGCCAGGTTTTAAATATGCTCCTAAATGTAAATGTAACTTTTTTTGAACAAGAAGTTGCAGCTACTTTATGTGTCCTAAAACTAAAGCTTAGACAGTCAGTCCAAACTGTTAATTTATTCAGTTATTCATTCAACAGCACTGTTGAACATCAATCCTTTTGACCAAAATGATACAAATTTCAATTTTCTTTCCTTTGGAGAACACACAGCTAAGTAGCTCTTACAATACAATGAGATATGTGCTATTGATATTGATAGAGAGGCACTTATATAAAAATTATTTACAAATATAACTCTTTATTATTAACCACCATATGATAGAATAAGTATTTTATCTTCTTGCTTGAGAATATCTTAGCTGTACATGAGCTTTGCATTTCCATTGGAGTTTTAAGAGCCACTTCGTCCAATTTCACATTAACACATGCATACACACAGTCACAGAAATGTCTCCTGGATTTTGGACATGGAGGGCAGTAAATCTGAGGTTTAAAATTTGGGGTAATTAACTAATTTAAAATATCAAATCTGCCTATTCATGACCCATTGTATTAACACAGGATTTTTGTACTACATTTAAATTCTATTTTAAAAATTTTTCCATCATTTTCTTATAATGTAGGGTTAGGCTATTCTGCAGTATTTGAAATATTGTTATCATAGTTTACAAGATATATTTTAATTAAATTGTTAGACTGTCTGTTGCTTAAAAATAAAGTACAATTTTGTACATTGGTCTTATACCCAACAAGAGTTCTATGCTAGTCTATTGATTAAATAGTTTGTCCATTTTCTCATGCAGTGTCTAATCGTGTGCTAACTGTGGAAAGTTTGTTTCTTCTTTTCTGATCCTTAATGTTTTAATTTCTTCAGGTTCCTATTACTACAATGGCTGTATATATATTAAAATTTGTAGGAAAGTGTGGATAGACATTCGATTTTAGTTACCAACTTCAAAATGGTAACTGCCTCACAAAGCCCTGCGCCTGCTGTCAGCCCTGGGAGGCCTCTGTAGTGGAAGTCTGAAGGCATTCTGGTTACGTCTGCCTCAAGTGTCTGAGACTTAGGAAGTTGATCTGACGATTGCAGCAACCGGTCCGCGAAAGGGATAATTCACAGATCCGGAGACGTGTCAAGGTAAGACATTGAGTAGAGACTGAGACAACTACCCACTTCAGAAAAGAGAAGCCCCAAGGTAAGATCCAGGCCGCTGACTATGCTGTTACTCCGGGCCAGCCCTGTGGGAAGATGTCAGGCTGAAGCCCTGTGACTTCCACCTTGGATAGCCCGAGAGAGGTGATGGCGTTTTACTGAGGAGATATACTTCAGTCGAGAAAGAGGGGATTTGCAGGTTCTGCACCGGGTGCACTGGACCCGGAATGAGAAGTGAGGGAACGGACCTAGCCCAGAACTGAGAACTCATTGCCATGGAGTTGATTCCGACTCATAATGACCGCCCCCTCAATTGAGTTTCCAAGGTTGTAAAATTTTAAGGAAGTAGAGTCCCTCCTCGTCCTCCTGCAGAGCACATGGTGAGTTTGAACCATCAACCTCTGGTTAGCAGCCAGATGCTTTACTCACTATGCCACTGGAGCACCTTAGGATAGAGAAGGACTGCACAATTACCCCTCCCACACAGCCCCTGTTGTCAGCCTTCAGAAGCCCCTGGTAGGCTGACAGAATTACTTCTCCTGGCTCCCATTTCAAGCACTGTTATTTAAGGTCTTGGTCTTAAGAGTACCTCAGGGAACAGAGGGAGAAGCTGAAGTCCAGCTAGGAGGCCAGGGAGGGACTGTGAGGATTGAGGACAGCCCCTGCTTCAGAACAGATAGCTCCCCCAGAGACCTGCCCATGCTGTCTGCCCTGGGAGAAACCAGGAATTGGATGGCCAGATGTTGGGAGGGTATTTATGCCTTGGGGCCTGTGGGAGGTGAGGGCTTAGGGGGTGATCTCTGTTCAATGGAGGGAGGAGTCCCAGGCCCTGATGGGTGTCAAGGTAACACTGTGAATGAGGTTGAAGAGTCCACAACTCCTAGAACAGAGGGGAGACACAAATCCCTGTGATGTTCCTGTTTTCTACTCTGGTAAGCCCTGAACTGCTCTGTCTGCTGAGGTACTCCATTGCTTCTACCTTGAGAGTCTGGAAAAGGTACCATCCCTGGTTGAGGAGATACCTACCAGGTCTGCAAAGAGGGGAGCCCCAAGTCCTAATAGTAATCAATGTAAGGATCCTGATTTAAGTGTGCAAGGATTCCCAACCCTAGAAAAGGCTCACTAAAAGTCTTGCTCTGCCACTGCTGTTAGCCCTGAGATTCTCCAAGCAAGGATTTCATGTTCAGATGACCCCTCACTTCTTCCTTGAGGTCTCAGGGAAGGCAAGGCTTTGCTCTAAGTAGGTCACATCAGGTCAGCCTAAGGAGAACTCCAAAGCACATCCAGGACTCATTTTAAGAACCCTGAGTTAGGTCTGAGGGGACCACTCACCCTCAAATGTGTGATCCCAAAGACCACCGGGAGCAAAAGAGCCTGGAGTGGATGGAATGGATGACCCCTCTGTTCTTCACAGTTCTTATAGACCTCATTGTGAGTGTGCAACATTAGGAAAGCTGAGGGAGGAGGCCCAAACCATACGATAGATCAAGGTAGCACACTACTGAGTTGGGACTGTGGGGTCACCCATCACAGAACTTTAGGAGTCACACAGAGTTCTGTTCTGCTCTCACACTTTGTCTTGGTGGTCTCAGGTCAGGGAAGACTTTTGTCTGAGTAGGCAATGTGAAGTCAGAAGGAGTGATCCCAGGCCCTGCCAGTAGTCAATGTAAGCGATATGAGTTAGAGATAAGGGGATCACCACCCCGGAAAATTCCAGTCCCACAAACCAGTTGGAATCCAAACAGATCCTAAGAAGAGATGGCTAGATAACATGCCCTTTCACTCCTCCACCATGGTCACATGGAGTTGAGCCTTATTTTGAGTGGGCAACCTCAAGTCAGGAGAAGGTCTCAGGAATTGCCAGAAGTAAAGGAAATAAAATTAGGATCTCACAATCCAGAACTAAATGGGCCAAACAGACTAGAAGCTGCCCCTACCATCATCCCAGCATACCCTGGGAAGACTTATAAGACTGATGTCACTTGTCTCTTGTAAATCATGTGCCTGAGTGAGAAGTTGGCCTTGTTTTGAAGAGATATGCCTCAGTGTAACAAAGGGTGGATTCTCATTCTCTGAAGGAGTCCAGGTAAAGATTTTGAGTGAGGACTGATGGGATCACCTACTTCAAAGCAGAGAGGATATGACAGATTAGAATACCAACCTTGATGTCAGCCCTGAAAGGGGATACCAGAAATAGTGTCCCCTGTATTCTGTTTCAGGAGTCTATGGGGGGTGATGGCCTTAGTCTGGGGGTGAAGTTTGCATTAGTAGAATGTGGAGTCTCAGGCCGTCCTAAGTATTGAGATGACACACTGAGTGTGGACTAAGGAGCCTGCAACTCAAGAACAATGGGGACACAGAGAGTCCTACCCTGCCCCTGTTATTGGCTCTGGGCAGCACTTGGCAGGGTTGTCAGGATGAGGAGTCTATTCACTTCTTTCTCAGGGATGTCCTAGTGGTGAAGGCTTTTGTCTGAGAAGGTGATGTCAGGTCAGCAGAAGAAGTTCTAGGTCTGTTAGGAGTCAAGGTAAGGAGCCTGAGTAGAATCTGAGAGTACCAACTATCCCAGAACAGCTAGGCCACAGATCTAACCCCTGCTGCCAACCCTGGTGATTCTTGGAGAAGGGGTCTGGATGAGGTTCCTGTTCATTTTCTCCTGTGATTTCTAAGGGAGATGAGGTCTTGATCTGAGAGGAGAAGCTTCAGGTCATCAGAACCAAAAGGGTAAGGATAAAGGATATGCATGAGAAGAGCGGGGCACATCCAAACTAAAAGCAAGACAACTACAGTGAGTATCACACTGCCTGCCCAACTATGAACCATGGAAATCCTTGAGCTGAGTTGGATGGCTGCACGTACAGAAATCTTCTCATTTACTCCTTCATGTTATTATGGTGGAAAAGAATTCTGGTTGCTTAGTGGTTGACACATTTTGCTGCTAAACAAAAGATTGGTGGTACAACGCACTAGCTGCCCCATGGGAAAAAGATGAGGCAGTCAGCTTCCATAAGGATTTACCACCTTGGACATTCATGGAGAAGTTCTGTTCTCTCTTATAGGGTTGCTATGAGTTATAATTGACTCAATGGCAGTGGCTACAATGGGGAAGGATGACTAGGAGGGCAGAAGACCTGTGAGACCCTAGAGCACTATCCCTCAAGAGAAGTCTGATAGAGATAGCTTTTGTCACAACTTCCAGATTTTAATTTGCTGTCTTAGTTGGTCCACATCTTACCTCTTTCTGCTAGGCTATGGGCTTGCTTTTCCCACTCTCCTGCCCCAAATCTTGTCTGCGGCCACCCAGAGAAGGTAGTCAAGATGTGTGGTGAAAAGAAGAGTCCCCGCTTCTCTTTTGAGCAATACCTTCCTTCCTTCAGTCAGGACCAGGAACTGGATGATAGAGTGTTCCTCAAGATTGTGGACAATTTCTGTTCCTCCCCCTCTTCTCTGATCCCCAGCTATGAGGAGGAGGATGCTCCTGTAAAAACAGCCAGTACTATTCAGGTTCTTCACAGTGAGTATGTCTCTTCCACTGCTATGACAGCCACCTCAGAGATCATATGGGATAAAACCTTAGTAACCAAGAAAATGGGGCTACCTCAAGTGCCTCACAGTTTCCATGAGATACTGAATGTTTCGATGAGAAGGTGTATAGCTTGGTGAATTTTCTGCCGTTCAAGTATTAAAGGAAGTAGCTGATCATGAAAGCCTACATGCTGAAGATGGTCATCTAAGAATATGAAGACCATTTCCCAGAGATCCTCCTGAGAGCGTCTAAAGTCATAGAGTTGATATTTGGCCTTGAAGTGAAGGAAGTTGACCCCATAGGCCATGGCTATACCCTGCACATTGAACTGGGGCTCACTTATTATGGGGTTCTGAGTGAAACAAAGGGTGTGCCCAAGACTGGCCTCCTGATTGTTATGTTAGGTGTGATCTTCCTGAATGACAACCGTGCCACTGAGGAGGAAATCTGGCATGTTCTGAATGCATTGGAAATACATCCTGGGGAGCTGCACCCATTCTTTGGAGATCCCAGGAAGCTCATCACCCAAGAGTTTGTGCAGGAAAGGTACCTGGGGTACCGCCTGTGGCCTAACAGCAATCCTGCATGTTATGAATTTGTGTGGGGTACAAGTGCCCATGCTGAAATCACCAAGATGAAGGTCCTGGAGTTTTTGTCCAGAGTCCATGGGTTGAGCGGCATTTTTTCCCATCTCCATATGAGGAAGCCTTCAAAGATGAAGGAGAAAAAGCCCAAGCCAGAGCTGCAGCCAGTCCTGCCACTACCTACATGACAATGGAGAGTTCCAGTGCCACTTGCAGCAGCTGCTCCTACCCCTATTGAGGTCTGAGTCAGATATTTCACTTTGTTTTTAATAAGCTTTCTAGGGAGTGGAGGGTGGGACTG